ATGTATATACTGCTAAGTAGAGGAATACTTTACACAATTCACTGTAGCCCTATGTAGAGAGCTACTGATTAAATTGCTTGAACATATCTATTTTGTGGTAACACCCATTCTGATCTAGTACTATGGACCAGTTGCTGTATCAAAAGCAGAGCACTGTAACAGGACACCATTTTTATTCAAAATATGCCAATTGATTTCCTGAATTAAACTGGTTTAGTAATTTGATATTGTATCAATGACTAGCTTGAAGTTGCAGAATTCATCTCTCAACCATATAATTATAGACTGATGAATGTCAAAGGTTAAAAAACAATCTCCAAAGCAGAAGACTTATCACATTTAGAGGACACATTTGGTAATGCAATTACTTGAAAGCTCAATGTACCATCTTTAATTCCAATCTGCTTCTCGTGGTGCATACTAGCCCTCTCAAGGTAGATGTCCTAACCCCTTGCTGCAGACATCTGGTTTCATCCAATATTTCTCTCCCTCATCCCTCTGGCTATTCAAACCTTCCCACAAAACAAAAAGATTATTGTGACGCTGTGTTTTGGCTTGTAACTGCACTTTTACCTTTTCACATCTTTTGGATATATCCTTGCATTTGATATAGCACCTTATCACATCTTTGAGATGTCTCAAAAGCGTTTCACAGAATATACTGCAAAGTGAATTGACTATATATTGTGTGGGCAAAACGCAGCAGACAATTGCGCACAGCAGTGTCCCACAAACAGTTGTGGATTGAGGAAGCAGATTTTTTTAATAACCTTGCTGCACTTTATAACACTACAGGGCCATTGCCGGAGCAGACTCCAGAGCTGTGCGCCACACTCTCAGGAAAAGCATAACAATGTTTCGTATGAGCCTTGTGATTACATCCTATGAGTTGTGCTCTATCCCTACATCGTGGCATGCCTTCCTCGCCACTTTAACGACAACAACTTGCATTTATATGACATTTTGATAGTGATGAGGCAGTGCCAACAAAGCTGCTCCCAGATTCCATCAAGTACTTCAAAGTGTTGCCAGTACAACACACATATTTCCAGCTAAGACTTAATCCATAATTCCGCAAGAACAAAAACATCAATTATACATATTCCCTGCCCACTGAATTAATTTTGCCATAACACATCCTTACACCTTATGTGACAGACTGGCTCAGTTGGCAGCACTCTCACTTCAGTGCAGCGCTAGGAGTGTGTTGCATTGTTGGAGGCCCCGTCCAATGGATAAAATGTTAAATGAAGGCCCTATCTGTGTGTTCAGGTGGGCGATAAAGATCCCATAGCACGATTTTAAAAGAGAAGGGAGTTTCCCCTGGTGTCCTGCCAACAATCATCCAAATAAAATGGTTATTTAACTTAAGGCTGTTTGTGGGACATTGTTGTGTGCAAATTGGTTGCCCAAAATGCTCACCCCAAATAACAGCTACTGCACGACTTTACACGTATATACTGTGTGCCGCTTTGGGACTTTCTCCCAGCATGAAAGGCATTATACCAAATGCAAGGATTATTGCTATTGCCATTCCAAACTTGATTTCTTCAATATCATCCTAGCTGGCCTCTCCAGCTCTACGATCCTCCAACTCAATGAAAATTCAGCCATTTGCACACTTAGCGAAACTAGGCTTTACATGCTCCTGACCACCATCCAGGTTCCACTGTCTCGCAGCAAATCTACTTTAAAATTCTTATTCTCACAAACAAATCTGTGTGCCCTCACCTCTACTCTGTGAAATTCTCTAGTCTTAATCACCTGTTCAGCCATATGTTCAACAAACATAGTCTGCTTTAAGATTTTATCCCATTTGAAAGGCACTGTATAATTATTATTACAGCGCTTTCTCAATATTTCAGGGTTGATTGTTTGCCCTCCAAGTTTATACAACTTCCTCGCAAAACACATTCTCCAAAACTATCCAACTTCTGGATTTTCATCAAACTGCAGCTTCCAGCCCCAAACAGACATATCAACTATACATTAACTTCATGAACTTTCAACTCCTATGACAATGGTTCCTACAATCCATTAAACATAATTTTAACCAGCCACATTCCTAGTCTCTTCACCACTTACATTTACCTTTATTCTTTGGCACTCTTCCTCTTACTATGGACATAATCCTGATCTTTAAAAATCTAATGTTAAACCACCACTTTTATCTTGTTATCCTGCTCTATAATCATGACAAGCAAGCAATGATCAATTGGAATGGGATTTTGATATCATCTAGTTCTTCTATATCATAGCTTCATGCTCTTCCTCTTATTACCTCACGGCTGATGTGATCCATAAATTACTAAACAATGCAGTTGACAAGATGCATCCTTGACAAACTCCCGACTAACAATACATATTATAGCGAACACAAGTTTCACTCGTCATTCAACACAGAGAAACCAACTGCTGAACGTAGAGCAAAGATTGAGATTAGAAACTGTGGTCTTGAACTAGGAAACCACAAACAAAAGGTGAGTTTTATATTTAATAGACTTTAGCTGCCATTGTGTCATATTAACCTTTCTAGTAGAGAAAAAATATATAATATTGTAAAAGTTTGGCACAAAATGTATACGTACATTCTGAATGCCTGGGCAGAAGTCCATCATTTACAAACGTGCTGTTTTCCAATGTACTTCTCCACAACCTAATACGTTTTAAGTTTTAATAAAGTTGTTCATCCACTGATCTTCTAACCACATCTGCCTTTATAAAACATAAATGAATTTATAGAATTAAATTTTGCAGAGCGGAATTCTTATCAAAGCTTTCTAAGCATTATAAGATGTCCTGATCAAGCATAGTTGAACGGAAATTACAATGTGTTACAATTTCATATTCTGTTGTGGGTTATCATCATGTCAAAAAAAAGTATCCTGTGCAAAGGAATCAAGAGAAAAAAATTCAGCAAGAATCAGCAGTATTTAAATATAGAAAGAATTACCATTATTTTTCCACACATCTGTAACATTAGTTACATGATGGGAATTAAACGGTATGCCAATACACACTCTGGGGTCCCCAAGCCTTGGCCCTTGCCAACCTGTGCCTAATACTTTCCAAAATTGGGTAAGCAGGATGCATCCCATTCCAATGATCTATCACTGGAATTTCCATGTGTAGGTGGGATGCATAGAATTCTCAGTTTGGTTGCACTTCAGCATGGTGATGGATTTCCGCATGTGTCAGACACATGGCTGACCAAAAAAACACCCAATCTGTGGTTTCAAATATCAAGAAAGTAATTGTAGGATTTCATTGAAATCTGAATATGTTCCCAAGTCACTTTGACAAAACCAAGGATAACAAAAAAAATCTAATCTACTTTGAAGTGAAATTCACAATTTTTTTTCAAATATTTATTTCGAGGCATTAAAGAAAAAAAGTTGGAAACAATTTTGGTAAATTGATATTTCATCTTCACATTTTGATTAACAAAAAGTCTTATAAATGGGAATTATTGAGCAGTAATACGAAATATTAAAACAATGACTAGAATTCAGAATGAAAAATTACAACTGTTCCTTTCCATTTGAATTACAAATGAGCATTACAATTTGCTCCCTCTTGACCTTTTTATGTACAATACTGTCAGATGAATTCTGGCATGATATCAGAAGCCAGGGTCAATGTGAAGTAGGTACACTCAATGTCAAAATAATTACAATATCCTAAATGTAAAAGATAAGTAAAATAATACAATTACATTACTTCTGACAAGTAAAACATAAGTGGAAGGATGCAGTGCAATATGTCACAAGGCTCCAACTCAATTGAGGGGTCATGATTAAGTTTATAAACAGCAAGAGCAAAGTAAATTTACAAACATCAGTAAGCTGCCAAGATTGAATTACAATACCACCATATAGCTTCCTGCATTATTTCGTACAATACATACAAGTTACACCTGTAAAATACTAATATATTAGAGTTCATACTGCTCCTAAATTGTGAATGGCAGTGATAAGAAGTATTGCTAGGACATACAACGACATACATTTAAGAGGGATATGCACAAAGTAAAACATCTACAGTCTTCACAGGACTGTGTTCTACAACAACAAAATTACATCTGTAAAGCGCCTTTCACGTCGGTTCCAAAGCTTTTTATTAGCAGCGGCTTATGAGGCAACTACGTCATTGATACAGATTATATACAGAACAGATAGTTGGCAGTGAGTTTCAAGCCCGTAATTCAAGAGTGCTTTTGATGAAATCATGAGTAGACACAGCAGAACTCAAATCTTGGATGAACATTTAACTGAACCCAAAAACCAAATTAACCATAAATGTGATATCAGCAGTTTGAAAATACGTACAATATGAACTTGATTTTTTTAAAATCATAAATCATCTGGCTTTCTCCTTGTCCAGTAATGCAGAAGCTTACAGTTTTGCATGACAAACATTGCATGATGTACATAAAAAATTTAAAATGCTTTATCGCCTGGGGTGCCATTGCACACATGAAGGAACAGTACCATAGTATTAAAACCGTGCGTTTCGGATGCCAAAAAAAGACACCAGTCCAACAAAAATGTTCAGAGCTAAACTTTTAAACATTGAATTTCATTTTTTTTTTAAAAATGAAAACTTTTAGATTGTAGCAAAGTAAGTGCCAGAACAGCTTTGCCCACATCCGCCTCTGGTAGTTTTCAGTAACTTGAGCTTGCAATTTGCAGCTGTTCTGTCACTTTATCGCATGACATTGTAAACGTTTAAATAAATGCCACACACCGGAGCAAAATGCCGAGTTGAATGAAGTTTTAGCTCTGGATATTTCAGCCGTGAGGTGTGTGTGTGTTTTTTTTTGGTGTTACCCGGAACGCGGGGGGTCAGACAAAAGTCACTGTGCAAAAAAAAAACACACACACACACACAGAACCGACCTTTAAAAATGTTAAACCACAGCCCTGTAGATTTCACACGGTGGGGGGGGGGGGAGGGGGAGTCAAAAAAAAAGAGAGAAATTAGTTGCCGAAGATACTCACCGACATAGTGGATGTTGAGAGCCAAGTACTTGTACTGGAAGAGCAGGTTGTTGTTATTCCGGGCCTGGATCTGTTGGAAGAACGAGCTCACGTCCCATCGGTACAACATCTCCAACACCATGATGCTGGGCACCCGCAAGGCCACGTTCAGCACCGCCACCAGCTTCTCCTGCACCCCGCTCATAACGTCCCTGAGGCCGGCCATGTGTGTGGGGTGAGGCCGCGGGTGGTGGGGGTTTTGGGAACCCCTCTCCTCTCCTCTCCCCCCCGGGCGGCTTGAGGGAGGGGGTGTGTGGGGGGTGTGGGGGGTGGACGAGCGCGCGGGAAAAAAATACACCTCTTAAAAAGACCGTTTCTTTGCACACTGAGGAGACGGTCCGCGCTCCTCACAGAGCATTACTCCGACCTCCTGCCCTTTCTATCGATGGGCTTTGAATCCTCGCTCTGGTGTTCCTCTCTGAGGCCGCGCCGCTGCCGCTGCCGCCGCCGTCGACTCTCTCCAAACCGCCGCCATTGCTCCGCGCGGCTCGCAAAACACTGCGCAGGCGTCCAGGAATCAAGGCACTGCGCATGCGCGGACCCAGGCCAGGAACCCGCCCCCGGGCTCGGCTCTGCACCGGTTCAGCCGATGGGGCGGGTTTTGCACGCCCAATCGGGCGGGACTCGCGCCCAATCGGGCGGGTTTTTGATGCACTGTGCAAACGGCTGGATGCATGTGCCTAATTTTAAATGTTTTCATTCAAACCTACAAAACTTTTTTTTTCCCCCCCCTTTGAACACCTTTTCCTACATAGTTTTAAAAAATAACCTGAATTGATCACTCTGCCACCCATAGGAGGCAACATATATTATTGGGCTACTTTTGGTGCTACTAATTGATTGACTTTGGGCTACAAACCTATTTTAATTTCTGGCAACCCTGACTGCCACTGCCACCAATAAGATATCCATTGGGATCACAGCACAAAGCTGCCACTCAAACCTCATACTAGGTGCTCATTGCAGGCTGACAATCCAGTGCAGTACTGAAGGTTCTTTACTTTGTTGGAGGTGCCATCCATTGCATGAGGGATAAAATTGAGGCCCCATCTGCCTCTTCAGAGGGATGTTAAAACTGACATGACACTCTTTGGAAAGAGAAGGGAGTTTCTCCAGCAACTAGGGTTAAGCTCATAGCTCATTGGACACCAACTTCAGACCTGAACACCGTCCTGAAGGACCGCGCTGAGAAAGGGCGAAGGGCACTCTGGTCATGCTCATCCCTCTTCAAGGACAACAAGGCCCCAATGCAGGTCAAGTTTGTGGCATACAAGACTTGCGTGCAAACTGTCCTCCTTCATGGATCTGAGCTCCTGGGGATGCAGCAGAAAGGCTTCCTCCGACCCATCTGCAAAGTCGAGGATCAAGAATTTGTGATAAACGCGGGAAGCGACTTCAGGAGGGAGAGCTCTGGCCTACACTGACTTGTCGCTAAGCACCCTGGAGGCGGAGGTAGTTTCACAGCATCTGTTTGCCAAGTCCCTCATATGAGGATCAGGATTGAGCAGCAGGTGCTGAGGAAGTCTGGTACGTGGCATTGGACTTGGACCTTGAGAACATCAAGGTGGCTAGCACGTCACAATCTGATTAAACTTTGCACCTCCAATTGATGGAACCGTCACTCAACGAGAAGAGGTGTATTCCCAAGCTACAGACAGGAAGACAGAGGTAATGATCTCATGCATTTCATGCTGAGATGCATTGCCCACCGGGAAGCTCACACGAAGTTCCTTGTACCTACCATCCACCTAATGAGCTCAAACCTTGTCGGATGTCGAACGACCAACTAGTGACTATCCTCCTGGGGGGGAGATAAGCGGAGTCTCCTTGGAGCTGAATTGGCTCCAAAGGGACGTGCCTGGCAATGGAATCGAGCCAGCCCTCTGTGGTGGTCTCGGTTGTCCAGTTACTAAGCCAGGCGGAATTGCAGTATTACAGGGCACTGCTGATGTCAGCACAGTAGAACTGGCTGATCAGCAGAACATGGAAGGATAGACTTGTCACTTGGGGCAATGAGTCACCCACTCAGCTCCTGTTAACTTTGCAAGCCAAAGCCCTTATGGGTAGAGTGGTCCTCGCTGGACAAGCAGCAGGAAGGCTTGCCAGACAGCAATATCAATGGCAAGCTATGTGGTTTTAGCTGGTTAGACTCTAGGAGTACCCAAATGCACACTCTGGGGTCCCCAAGCCTTGGCGCTTGCCAAACTGCGCATAATACTTTCCGGAATTAGGTAAGCAGGATGCGCCCCTCCAGGGAGAGAGTGTGCATTCCATTTAAACAATCTATCTCTGGGATTTCCATGTGTAGGTTTGGGTACTCTTCAGCATGGTGATGAATTTCTGCACATGTCACCCAACTGACCAAAAGAAAACCTCATAGCTGTTGGTGGGACATTGCTGTGAATCACTGACTGCTTCATTTGAAGCTTCTTGAGTCATTTTGATGATGTAATAAAAAACTATACCAAATTCAAGGATCATTATGTTAATTGGAGGGAGAAGCTCGATGCTTTATCAATCACATGGCACACAGAATCGGTGCGATGATGCATCATAGAATGATCTAGTACATCACAGTGAGATCACAAAACCTGATTTCTGGAAAGATAAATTATTGTGATTCTTTAGCGGCTAGTTAGCTCAACAGATGGTAATTGAGACATGACACTGTTCTTGCCGTCTTGGATTACAAGAGAAACAAATCAACAGCTCAGTTCTAATTTAAGATTATTACTATGAAAGGAAATTTTTTCTTCCTGAAGGTTATTGGAATATTAAAATCTAGAATGATTTGCCAAGCATGAATGCGGAAGCCAGTTGAGAGAATTGAAATGTGTAAAAGAGAATTTGATCAGCCCATGTGAAGGAAAGGTCGAGAAGGTTTGGAGAAAGAATAGGGAGTTGCCATTAGGATAGATGGCTTCATTAGTGGAGCAAGTACTCAGGGTCAATGACCTCTTACTGTATTCAAAAACAGAAGTCGCTGGGAACACTCAGCAGGTCAGGCAGCTTCTATATATAATATAATAATAATCCTTGCATTTGATATATTGTTATTAATATTATTATAGCGCTTTTCACATCTTTTAGACGTCTCAAAGCGCTTCACAGAACACGCTCTAAAGTGAATTGACAGTATATTTGTGGGCGAACGCGGCAGCCAATTACGCACAGCAATGTCCCACAAACAGTCGTAGATTGAATATGACCAATTTATTATTGTTTTTGGTTTTGGAGGGATTATTATTAGACGTGTGGAGTAAGGAAACTTGCCCAAGGTTTCGCCCTGCCTGGAATTGAACCCAGGTATCCGCGACCCATCGTCAGAACAGTTCTGCTCTGAAACGTTGACTCATTTTCCTTTCTCCAAAGATGTTGCCTGATTTGCTGAGTGTTCCCAGCAACTTCTGTTTTTGTTTTCAGATTTCCAGCATCTGCAGTATTTTGTGTTTTGTTTCCTACGTATTGTTTTTTATGGCTTGTGGAATTCAACAACTTTACAATATTACATTATTGGGCTATTAAAGATCAAATATATGACATTTTAGATATTAGTTACTCCACATACCTGCAAGGTATTAAGTAAACAGATTGAAAAAAATCTGAACAAGTGGAGGAGGAGTTACTTTTGGGGGGGGGGGGGGGGGAGTTGGGAGAATTGTTTCTCTTCCAAAAGTCTTCCATCTGATCCCGTAAACAAATTGTAAATTGAACCACTATGTCTCTGAACTCTGACCTCATCCATTGGCTGGCACCCAAACCAACAGTTTACCAAAGTAAATAGTGGTTTCATTTTCAGTCAATTAAACCGCAAGCTGCAATTACTAAGAGAAACACACTATTGAACTAATTTCCAAGAGTAAACGTTCTCACATTCCGTTTTAAATAGGTAATCTTCTGCTCTTTTTCAAAAAAAATTGTTTTAAATTTCATTTAAAAAAAATAAAAACAAATATGCACACTTACAAATAAGGATGGAATAGGATGGAAAATACATTCTTGCTAAACTGGATACAGTAACAAATTAACCATGTCTTACAAAGAATAAAGATGGTGAAACACAGATTAGATTGTTTTTTTCAAACACAGATTATATAGTTTTCTTTTAGGAAATAACATTATGGGATATAGTACATAGGTAGTTTGGGACATATGTGCAAGCGACCACCAGGAAGGTGGAAGGCGAACTAGATGGACCTTGGTCTTTTTTTGTCTAGTGTTTCTTATCTTCTTATGATGACAAAAAGTCAACAAACTTACTGTCTGTTTTCTATGGCTTAGCGCTACACCAAGCAACACCTTTACCCAGAGGTGCTACTTACTATCCTTGTTACTCTTCTCTGAAGCCACTAGAATGTATATTTTGTGTTCTTACTTCTGAAGAAAAATAATGTGTCTCATGGCCAAGAACCACAGTAGAGGTAGGAGGTCGTGGTGGTAAAAATCTCAGTGTTTGCTCCAGATGGAGCAGAGTTAAAGACTCTTTTACACTGCTTTATATTCACTTTTGGGAATCATTTCCCTGCCAATTTTTCTCCTCAAACTTCTCCCTTTTCCATAATACCCATTTTGGTGTGTGACTCCTGTTAGTATAATAATAAATAATAATCCTTGCATTTGAAAAAACATCTTCTAGACCTCTCAAAGCACTTCACAGAATATACTATAAAGTGAATTCACTGTATGTTTCTGTGGACAAAACACAGCAGCCAATTGCCTACAGCAGTGTCCCACAAACAGTCATGGATTGAAGTAACAATTTTTTTTTGATTTATTACCCCCGGAAAAGAGATCCGCCAATCAACTAACAACCAGGTTCCCATTTACTGCTAGGTAAACAGAGGAGTGTGGAGTAAGGAAACTTACCCAACGTTTCCCCTTGCCAGGAATCGTACTCAGATATCTCACTAGCGGGGCGAGTGCCCTAACTACTGAGCTACAGGACTCCATAATATGCTAATTGGCTTTCCAATTGTAAGTAGCATCACAGCCAAACCCAATCCTTTCCTTACCTAGCATTTTCACCTTACAAAACATGAAGTCCTGTAGCTCAGAGGTTAGAGCACTCGCCTTGCAAACGAGACACCTGGTTTCAATTCCAGGCAGGGCGAAACCTTGGGCAAGTTTCCTTACTCCACACGCCTAATAATAATCCCTCCAAAACAAAAGAATAATAATAAATTAGTCATTTTCAATCCACGA